GCGGCTTCCCCCAGCTCCCGACCCCCTGCCCGGCTCCTCCGCCCTGGGTGCCCTGCCTGCTGCCAGCCTTCCTCCCCGGCCGCAGCCTTCCTTGCTGCTCGCCCGGCACCATCAGCAAGAGCCTCCCTTTCCCCGCAGCACAGCTCGGGTGCGAGGGGCTGACAAGTGCCGAAACCTCCCGGCACGTCTTCTCCTCCTGTGCACAGGGTGGCTGCGAAGCCGCCGTCTGTGGGGTGCCCCGGCCATGGAACGCGTCCTCTGCCTTGGGCTTTCCCCTCACAGCCCCCTGGCCCCGGAGCGGGGCCAGCCCCTGCCCGGGAGGAGGACGGCTGTGGGGTTCAGCTGGGGTCGGAGGGGGAAGGACGGAGGAGGAGGGGGGATCGGGGAAGACGCATCGTCGCGGGGTCTCCCAGACCTGACGCGCGCGCGCGCAGGGCGCTCTGTGTGGCTCGGCTTTTGTGTCCGCGAAACGCTCGTCAGCGGGAAAAGTGCAACCTCAGGTTCTCTCCCACAGGCAGCTCTTTGTTCCCAGATAAAGGACCTTACACCAAAGGCCCTTTGTGCCGCTGCTCGGAACGGTGCTGGGATTAATTGTACCGATAGGTGCTTGAATGGGGAACGCGCAAGGCCGCTCGCTCCTGCCATAATGATCTCCAAAACTGAGGAGGAAATTAAAATATGCGGGGAGATGCCCCTTTTGGTGGCTTTTTGACTGGCAGGGAGTCACCAAGATCGAAAGTGCCCCCCTGGACAAGCTGCTTTTCCTACCAGGGAAGCACGGCATGGCAGCAAGGGGGAAAGGCATCCAGCACCACCATGAGCAGCCGCCGCGGTGGAAGCCGAGCCGTGTCCTGGGGCAAATGGCTCAGCCATCGGTGCTGTCTGCATATGGCCAGGCCACTCGCCCCGCGCCGGGCTCCTACTGACATGGTGCCGTGGTCTGCGTGGCTCCCAGAGAGCACGGGCACGTCACAGAACAGGTTCCTCTGTTTGCGGCAAGGCTGCGTGGGCGTCTTTACTAACTTTCCTCCCTTGCCTGCTTCCAGGATGCTCTGGACTTGCGCGAGCTGCCGTCTCCTCGTCAGGGCGAGGAGCTGGCATCCCAGCTTGCCAGCGCATCCTGATAAAAGCCGGCAGTCCCCATGTTCAAAGGCGAGAGCGTTCAAATCGGAGCCGGTTGGTGGAGACGACTGAGTCTTCCCCAGCGGCTTCATCTTGAAAGAATTTTGTTTCCCCCCCTCCTTTCTGGCTCAGGCATCGCCGCCGCGCACGTCTGCCACTCAGCAGTGCGAGACAGGCTCTCTGGGCCTCTTAGGGGGGGAGTTCAAACGTTTTTGCTGGCCTCAGACCGTGCACGCCGCATTCCTGAGCCCCTGCACGGGGAGGAAGAGGTCCCCAGCTCCAGATGGGTCCTCGCCAGGGCTTCAAACATGCAGCGAACTGCTGGGGACTCTGCAGAGGCAACGGGAGGGCTGCTGGCAGGGGACCCCTGGTCTTTGCAGCTTGGGGCACGCCTGGGAGGAGATTTTTGCAGGGCAGGGAGGAGGCAGCCAGAGTGATGCTGAGAGCCCTGCCCGGGGAGTGAGGCTCTTTCGCTGCCCTGGGATCCCACTCTGCCGTGGAAATGCTGCTGTTGTGTGGGGCTGACCATTGCCTGCTGTGCTTGCGGAGCGTAGCGAGGCTCCTGCTGCATCCCTTGCCTTTGCCCAGCTGGAGGTAAGGAGACGACAACTCGCCAGCGCTGTGGACACTGATAAAGCAAGCCTGAGGGTGACTTCCCCAAGCTGGCGAAATTGGGAGCCAATTTCCCATTGACTAATGGGACCAGGCTCTCGCTGTGGTGTGCGGGATTGAGGTGGCTTTGACTCACTGCTCGGCCAGCCCTGACGCTGTTCACGTCCCTCCAAAGCACCTGCAAACCTGACCTGAGCCAGGAATCCGCTGGTGCCGCCTCCGAGCCCAGCTCTGGCACTGTGTGCCGGACAGAGAGAGCGGCCGGCTGCTCCTGAACCCCTGAAACCCAGTGCCTGCCCGTCTCCCTTTCACGGGGGGCCAGTGCGTAGCGTGCCCTGGTGTTTGCTGGCGGAAGGACACGAGTTCGGTGCCAGGCCACTGTGAGATCTCTGCGGCAGCTTGAAG